TTTTGTTGAGACAGGACCTCCCTACACAGTTTGGCCTGGCCTTGTGTTCACTTCTGTAGCCCCCAGGTTGGTCTCAAACTCACAGAGATCCTCCTGTCTCAACCTCCCCAGTGCTGGGATTACAGGAGTACACCAACACGCCCAGTTTCTGGGCCAGCACTGCCTGCCCAGGGTTCCAGGGCAAGCATGGCATGCAGGGCCAGGGTTCGAACTCGGGTCCTTGTGCTTGCCAGGTAGGTGCTTATTCCTCTGAGCTATCTCCTCAGCCTCTATTGGTGTTCATCTGATTTTTCATGCCCATCACTGTTTATGAAGTTGGGTGCTCTGGTATGTTTATAATTGTTATACTTTCCTGCTCAGTTGTTCTCTTAACCAATATGTAGTGAGCTGTTTTGCCTCTTCTCCTCAGCTTTGGCTTGAAATCCACTTTCAATGACATTGGGATAGCTATTCCTACTTTTTTCTGGGTTCCCATTGCATGGCACATTGTTTTCCATCCTTTGATTTTTTTAACCTGTGAGTTTCTTTTTGAATTAAATGTTTCTGGTACACTGCATATCCTTGGATTTTGTTTCTTGGCACATTCTGCCAGTATTTATCTTTTTTATTTTATTTTATTTTTTATGTATGTATGTATGTATGTATGTACTTAGTAGAGTCTACAGGGTCTCACTACACAGATGGGACTCACAGTGATCCTCCTGTTTTCATCCTCCCAAGCACTGGGATTACAGGCACACACCACCACACCCAGTCTCAATTGTCATTTCAGCACACCCCAGGGGTGGGGCCCGCACGGCATGCTGGGGATCCAATCCGGGTCCCTGCTCTGCCTAAGCAGGTGCTTTAGTCCGCTGAGCTATCTGGCCAGCCCAATATTCATCTTTTCATTGGATTTTGAGTCTATTCACTTTGAGAATTATTACCTAAAAGTATTGATTTATTTCTGTCATTGCATTACTTTCCTGTTGGTGAGTCCCTTGTGTGTTTTTCTTTCCCTTTTGCTTACCTGCTTACACTGCCAGATGGCTTTATTCTTTTTGACTTACTGGCATTGTTGGCTTCGTTGTCATTTTCTAGGATATCCTTGATATTTTTGTAATCCTGGTTGTTGGTCGTGAATTTCTTGAGGTACTGCTTATTATGAATGTAACTTAATTCTTTGTCAATTTTAAGGGAAAGTGTTGCAGGGTACATAAGGTGGGGTTGGAAGTTGTTACTTCTTAGGACTGGAAATATTTCACTCCAAGCCCTCTTGGCCTTTAAGTTTTGTGTTGAGAAGTGTGCTGTATTCTAATGAGTTTACCTTTTCATATGATTAGGTGTCTTTCTCTGTCATCTTTTCGTACTTTGTCCCTCTGGTACCTTAAGTATAATGTAGTATGGAGAGGTTCTCTTTTGGCCAGGGCTATTTGAGATTCTGTACACTTCACTTAAATGTATGTTTTTTTTTTTTTTGTGGAAAGTTTTTTGTTTTTTGTGGCACCAGTCATCAGACTCAAGATCTTGTGCTTTCCAGGCAAGCACTTACTCCACTGAGCTGTCTCCTCAGCCCTGAGGGACAAGTTTGTTTTTTTTTTAATGCTATTCGTGTTGTCACCTGATTTTTTACTTTTTCTTTTCTTTTTTTCTTCTTCTTTTTCATTTTTATGTATTTGCTGTAGGATCTCACTACACAGCTCGACCTGGTAGTAGTCCTCCTGGTTTCAGCCTCCCCAGCGCTGGGATTACAGGTGTGCACCACCATGCCTGAACTCGTTCACTGGCTCAGAGCACCCCAGGAGCGGGACCAGCACAGCATGCGGGACTGGGGATTGAATCCTGGTCCTTGTGCTTGGCAATACAGGCGCTAAGTCCGCTGAGTTCTCTCTCCAGCTCACATCCTCATTTTTTGAGGTATGTGAGTAGTTGGTCTTTGTTTTTGTTTTTTCGGGGTTTTTTTTTGTTTTTGTTTTTGTTTTTGTATTCTAGGGAAGGGTCTACAGGGTGTTCAGGGTCTCACTACTAGATCGGACTCGTAATGATTCTTCTATTTACAGCCTCCCAAGTGCTGGGATTACAGGCTTGCTCCACCATGCCCAGTCTCAATCACCATCTCAGTGCGTCCAGGGGTGGGGCCAGCACAGCAGGCCCAGGGATGGAACCCCCAGCCCCTGAAACTGCTTGCAGGCACTTTAATCCACTGAGCTATTTGGCCAGCCCAGTACTTGGTCTTTGAAGGCATCATTTTCTTCTAGTTCTGAAATCCTGTCCTCACATTGGTCTCTTCTGCTGCTTATAATTTCTGTATAATTTTTAATTTCCTGAGTTTTTGACTGAAACATTTCATGGGCTCTTATTCTTTGCTTCACTGGTTATTCGTGTTAGTATAGTTTTGGTTAGCTCAGCTAGTTTTTTACTAGTGCCTTCTGAGAGCTCCTGGATCATTTGGATTACTACCTTAATAATCTGTTTAGTTACAACTTTGTTGATCTTGTTGAGAACCTCTTTTAATCTATCTTTTAACCTTTTGTCCTTTTGAGCAATGTGGATGTGTGCTATTCTCCTCCTTGAGCCCCTCAATTGGCTTTGGGGGAGCTGAGAGTTTGGGGAAGCATCTGTTGCCTTTTCTTCTCACGTTTCTATTGGTTTGTTGGTTTCTAGGTTTTTGTTTTGCACTTGAGGTCTGTGGATGCTTTTAGTGTACAGACTGTTGTTAGTACAGAATTACTATAAAGGTCTCTTTAGTCACTTTCCAATGATGTGCTTTATGTGTAGCTCACCGTGGTCCTTGGCCTCAGCCCCAAGATCCAACCAGCTTAGTTGCTTTGGGAGGGAAGGATGCACTGAATTGTTTAGGAATGCAGTCTTGTATTGTTTGTGTCACAACGGTCATTTGAATGTCAGCTTACAGAGAAAACCCATTCATAGCTGCAGTTATGCCACCTTGGTAACATCAAGCAAACCAGCTACAGTAGTGTTGCCCTAGACAAATGAGTTACGTACAATAAGAATCAATTATGGGGCTGGTGAGATGGCTCAGTGGTCTAAAGCACCTACTTAAAACAAGCGCAGCAAAGCACAGGGACAACGGTTCAATCCCCCAGCACCACATGCC